TGATTTTGGGGTAGATTTGGGGTTTTTGGGGTGGATTTGGGGTGGATTTGGGTTTTTTGGGGCCCTACCTGTTGGAGATGCCGATGGCATCGTTGAACTCGGACCTGCAGTTCTGCCGCAGGGGGGGCTCTGGGGTGGGTTTGGGGTGGGATTTTGGGGTGGTTCTGGGGTTTTTGGGGTGGTTCTGGGTGTGATTTTGGTGCAGATTTGAGGTTTTTGGGGTGGATTTGGGGTTTTTGGGGCAGGTTTGGGTTGGTACCTGTTGGAGATGCCGATGGCATCGTTGAACTCGGAGCGGCAGTTCTGCCGCAGGGGGGGCTCTGGGGTGGGTTTGGGGTGGTTCTGGGTGTGATTTTGGGGTGGTTCTGGGGTTTTTGGGGTGGTTCTGGGGTTTTTGGTGCGGGTTTGGGGTTTTCAAGGTGGCTTTGGGTTTTTGGGGCGGTACCTGTCGGAGATGACGATGGCGTCGTTGAACTCGGAGCGGCAGTTCTGCCGCAGGGGTGGCTCTGGGGTGGATTTTGGGGTGGATTTTGGGGCGGATTTGGGGTTTTTGGGTTGGTACCTGTTGGAGATGCCGATGGCATCGTTGAACTCGGAGCGGCAGTTCTGCCGCAGGGGGGGCTCTGGGGTGGATTTTGGGGTGGATTTTGGGGCGGATTTGGGGTTTTTAGGGCCGTACCTGTTGGAGATGCCGATGGCATCGTTGAACTCGGACCTGCAGTTCTGCTGCAGAGGTGGCTCTGGGGTGGGTTTGGGGTGTGATTTTGGGGTGGGTTTGGGGTGTGATTTTGGGGTGGTTCTGGGTGTGATTTTGGTACAGATTTGGGGTTTTTTGGGCGGTACCTGTTGGAGATGCCGATGGCATCGTTGAACTCGGAGCGGCAGTTCTGCCGCAGGGGGGGCTTTGGGGTGGGTTTGGGGTTTTTGGGGTGGTTCTGGGTGTGATTTTGGGGCGGATTTGGGGTTTTTGGTACAGATTTGGGGTTTTTAGGGCCCCACCTGTTGGAGATGCCGATGGCATCATTGAACTCGGAGCGGCAGTTCTGCCGCAGGGGTGGCTTTGGGATGGGTTTGGGGTGTGATTTTGGGGTGGTTCTGGGGTNCATCTTCTGGATGACGATCTCGAACAGCTCCCCGTCCCTGAGAGCCCTGGGACCCCAAAAACAGGGGGGTCACCCCAAAAACAGGGACACCCGGGGACACCCCCACACAGCTCCCCGTCCCTGAGAGCCCTGGGACCCCAAAAACAGGGGGGTCACCCCAAAAACAGGGACACTCAGGGACACCCCCACACAGCTCCCCAACCCTGAGAGCCCTGAGACCCCAAAAACTGGGGGGTCACCCCAAAAACAGGGGGGTCACCCCAAAATAGGGACACTCAGGGACACCCCCACACAGCTCCCTGTCCCTGAGAGCCCTGAGACCCCAAAACCAGGGGGGTCACCCCAAAACCAGGGGGGTCACCCCAAAATAGGGACACTCAGGGACACCCCCACACAGCTCCCTGTCCCTGAGAGCCCTGGGACCCCAAAAACAGGGGGGTCACCCCAAAAACAGAGGGGTGACCCGAAAGCCAGGAAGCCCCAGTTCTGCCACAGGGGTGGCTCTGGGATGGTTCTGGGGTTTTTGGGGTGGGTCTGGGTGTGATTTTGGGGCGGATTTGGGATTTTTGGGGTGGGTCTGGGTGTGATTTTGGGGTGGTTCTGGGGGTTTTGGGGTGGATTTGGGGTGGCTTTGGGTTTTTTGGGGTGGCTTTGGGTTTTTTGGGTTGGTACCTGTTGGAGATGCCGATGGCATCATTGAACTCGGAGCGGCAGTTCTGCCGCAGGGGTGGCTTTGGGGTGGGTTTGGGGCTTTTGGGGTGGTTCTGGGTGTGATTTTGGGGTGGTTCTGGGGTTTTTGGGTGGTTCTGGGTGTGATTTTGGTGCAGATTCGGGGTTTTTGGTACAGATTTGGGGTTTTTAGGGCCCCACCTGTTGGAGATGCCGATGGCATCGTTGAACTCGGAGCGGCAGTTCTGCCGCAGGGATGGCTTTGGGGTGGGTTTGGGGTTTTTGGGGTGGTTCTGGGTGTGATTTTGGGGTGGTTCTGGGGTTTTTGGGTAGGTCTGGGTGTGATTTTGGTGCAGATTTGGGGTTTTTAGGGCCGTACCTGTTGGAGATGCCGATGGCATCGTTGAACTCGGAGCGGTAGTTCTGCCGCAGGGGTGGTTCTGGGGTGGGTTTGGGGTTTTTGGGATGGCTTTGGGGGGTGATTTTGGTGCAGATTTGGGGTTTTTGGGGCGGGTTTGGGTTGGCACCTGTTGGAGATGCCGATGGCATCG